ATGCTTCGCTTAGGGAGACGAGACCAAGCAGTATGATAAGGCAGTGTTTGAGCGTGACACCGCTTAGAAACGCAGAGAACGTCCCACTGAGGTTCCAAGGGAAGGTGCCAGGGGAGGTGGTGTTTAGAGACTCACACACTGTTGGAGCAGGAAGAGTGTGGAAGGCGCTCACTCCCTTCGTGGAAAGAGAAGCTGAGATCTCAGAGGCTGTGGACTTGGGAGTGGTCTCGGCAGTGAGTAGACCGGTGGGAACCCCATGCTTCTGCCCTGATGCTTAAGGGGCACCCGAGGGTTCCAGTGCTGTTTTTCTGCAGGGCGGATGGGGAGACAGCCATATAGCACACACAAGGGGGTACAGGACAGGTGTGGGGGGTGTGTTTGTTAGAAATGGCTCTTAGTGCCCAGAATTGTCAGGGGGCGGGGGCGGGTCGTTTTGGAGAGTACGGGAAGAACAGAAAAGCTCATGTAGCTGCGGTGGAAGGACCTGGAAGTCCAGGGTGAAGGTCTGGACTCGATTCCATAAACCTGGGTGTGAGTGAGCGTGAGTGGCGTGCATGTCGGGGAGGTGGGGGTGAGGACAGATGGACAGAAATGTAAAAAAAAAATGGGGGCTGCTTGGTGAACTTAGAAAGTTAGCATTTATTCCCTGTAAATGGTTGATTGTTCCGAGTTGAAATTCATGGAGTCGCCTTATTTATATCTTAGCCTGAGAGAAAGGGGTGTTTGTTACTCTACGCTTTCACGTTGTTGCCTCTCCCCGCTCGTTTTCTTTCTTCTGACTTTCTCTTGGTGATAATATGTTTGTGGTTAAAGATTAATCAAAATGAACCCATTTGACTCGCGTGGAACTTGGACATAGCAATCCCATAAATGTTGAGAAAATAGAGTGAATGCATTGTAATTCCCTTTTTTTTAAAAAAAAAAAAGTATGCCTTATATGCCATAATTCTGAAAATACCCAAGTGAAACTTCAAAGGAGCCGGGAAAACCAAGTGCCTCATGGTTGAGTAAGTAGGCTAAGGGCAAGGTTGTAAAGGCTGGACTGCAAAGACCAGGGCGAACAGGGGTCAGAGATCGTCACTGAAGTGCTGCAGAAGGGGCTCCGACACTGTCGCTAGGTTACTAGTAGGAATTTACCGTGCCTGTGGCCAGAAAAGGTCGCTTTGCCTGGTCTGCAGGTTGTACCTTCCAGGGGGCAGCGGTGCCTGGCGCCCTCCCCGGCGAGTGACAGGAAGCGGAAGTTGGCATCCAACCTCGTGTCCTTAGGCTGAAACCTGGCCAGCTGCCCCATTCTGTTACCTGTTGGGGCACCAGCTATTTTTGGTTTCGGTCACTTTGCCCAAAAGATAAGGAATTTCAGGAATTTTGCTGAACACCTCTGAAATAGACTCCCAAACAATAGGCCTTTCATGGGACTCTAAACTTGACATTCAGAGTGTTATTTTAACTTGTTTTCTGTGAGTTCAAAGCATGGAAGCACTTGGCTCCTGGGGAGGCTGTGGGGCTGGGGCTGGGGGAGGTGCGGAGACCATCAGTGCCCAGGCTGCTGAGAGCTCGCTGCACCGCGACCTTTATGTAGAAATGCAGTTCCTTTTAAATGCTTCGGTTCTAGTTCTCATTTTTAGTTCTGTTTTCACTTATTTTAGAGCTGCCTTTCTTTGGCCTTTGCTTCTCAAGGGCTGCCAGGCCATCCCTGAGGTGGGGGGAGGGGGGCCTGGAATTTTTTTAATGCATGCTTTCATCACACATCCGCACCCCTCCCTGTGTACATCTTTATGAGAATGAGGAGCTAATTAATGCCTCTGAAATGTCTTGGAAAGCCATTTTAATCACTAACGTGGAGTCTTTTTTGGTGGTAAGAATAATCACTGTTTAGAAGTGAAATTAGTAATATTATAATGGAAAAAATGTAATACAAGTAGCTAATTATGTTGGGTTTTGTTTTGCTTCTGTGGTTTAAGAATATGGGGTTAGGTATTTTTTTTATAAACACGAGGAGCAAGACGTGGAAATAAATATACCTCAGGCTGACCTGGAGGGAAGAAAATTCAAAAATTAATCTGTGAAACAAGGTACCTAAGGACGTTTCTGGTTGATTGGCCCCCCTGGTAACCCGCAGTGTCCCTGGCAGCACAGGGACTGAGGACGCAGGGACGCGGGTGGCATCTGAAACTGGCTGTATGTTGTAGCCCTGCGACCTGGGACGCCACCTCCACACTGGAAATCGCAATTGCCACTTCACAGCAAGGGATGAGGATCAAATGGAAAGAACCACACAGAAAAGGATTGGTCAATGGTAGGCAACATTCTCATCAGAACTGGTGCTAACTATCCAATTGTCGTTAATGAAAACTACTCCATTTAACGCCTGATGCTCAAGATACTCTGTTAGGTGACACTGGGGATCACAGGGGACAGCTGTAATATACAGCTCCTGGCATTGGGTAGTTCGTGTGCAATTTAGGACCATGCGTTTCAGGTGAAAAGGTAACCGGCGAAACAATATGAGGATAACGAATGCCTGGGAAGATGAAATAGTCACGATTTTGTAGGATGCTCTGGAAAGGTGACCTAAGGAAGCTAGCCCTTGCATCGTGTAGGTGGGCAGAAAGAATGAGAGGCTGTTCCACGGAACTGAGCCCTCCCCACCCCCACATACTTCCCCTATTCTTCACTACAGAGTATGGCAAGAAGTGTATGAGTAAGAAAATGGGAAGAGTTTTGGCCTTGCTACTTAGCACCTGTGTGACCCCCTGACTTGGCCTCTATGTGATGGGTAGAAACCTAGGCCAGGGGTCCTCGCTCTCTGATCTCCCAGGGAGAAGAGCGCTTGGGGAAGACACGTTGAACACAGTAGCACTCGCTCAGCATTGGCGACATATCCCCACTCAAATGCCCCTTCTCGTCAACAGGGAGAGCCATGCTGGCTCTCTCCAGCGGCACCAGTTCTTTGACTTTTGTGACCATTGCCCACTGTAAACGTTTGATGACATGCCGTGAATGCCGTGTGAATCCATTGCAAAGTGAAACTTCAAGCCTTGCGAGAGACCTCATATTTCCCAGCAGCCAAGAAACTGGTTTTGAAGATTTGCTAAAAACACTTGCAACCCATTGACAAAAGTGTATGTTTGTGCATGTGCACGCACCCGAGTGCATGCTCCTTACGAAACGCTCCCTGCATTTCACCGTTCTCAGCACTTTGCGTGAACTCCCTCCTCACTCCCGCTGCATGAGGTGCACATGATCACGGTCCCCACAGCAGCCAGGAGCAGAAGCGGGACTCCACCCCACACCTGCCTCCACTCAGTCAAGGTCCAGTGACAGGAGATCAGCAAGCAGCGTGGGCCCAAAACAGAGAGAGGTTTCCCTTGTGAAAAATCAATATAAACTGCCAACGGAGCAGAGTCGGCGGCACTTAGGACCTTGGCCTCTGGGGTCAGACTGCTGGAGCCTCACCGCCTCTTCGTTGCGTGACCTTGGACGGATGACTCAATGTGGCTGGTTTTAGTTTCCTTATTCAGTCCAGATAATTAATAGTACATACCTGTACAATTATAGTGGGGTGACCTGATTAAGATGCCTATAGGTGTGCCTGACCAATGGAATGGACTCCTTCAATTGTTGATTTTCCCTATAACTAACATTCGGGGAAATGGTTCTCTGTATGATCATGCTCCAGAAATGAAACATGAAGGATGTCTAGTGCTATTCTCCAGTTTTGAAACAGTGAGGCCAGAGGTCACGTAGTGGCCGGGGAAATGGAGGGGGGTTTGCAGAGTATCCGGGTGTGGAGTGGGATGGCAGAGCTCTGTGTTGGAGTGCAGGGTTTTAAGGCAGGAGTGAGGACATCAGTTAGAAAACACAGCAGGATTAGCCCTGGCTGGTGTAGCTCAGTGGTTGTGTGCTGGGCTGCAAATCATAAGGGTTGTGGGTTCAATTCCCTGACTCAGGCACATGCCTGGGTTGTGGGCAGGTCCCTAGTAGGGGGTGTGCGAGAAGCCACTACACAGTGATGTTTCTCTGCCTCTCTTTCTACTTCCCTTCCCCTTTGTCTAAAAACAAATAATACAATCTTTTTTAAAAATAAAAAAAAGAAGAAGAAGAAAGAAAACTCAGCGGGTTTAAACTGCCTCCTTTGCAGCAAACGGGAGGAAGAGACATCGGTGAGCGGCTGCCCTAGAGCCTCGTGGAAGCCAGGGAGCATTTCCGCGTGGTTATGGGCAGAGGAGAGTCAGCCCTGCAAGAGAGGAACCCGGGTGCGGGGAGGGGCGAGCCTGTGGGTGGGAGGGGAGGGTGTGCGAAGCGGCTTATTTCAGCCGCTGTCACCCGCCGGGCCTGGGGCCACTGGACGGCGCCGCCCTCCGGAAGTTGCCAAGTTGCGCCTGCGCACCAGGTGTTTCATTTCAGGGGCGTGGGGGCCGGGGAGTGAGCATCCGGATAACGTTTCTGGAAAGTTTTCACTTCTTGCTCTATTTTGAGCTTCAGGGAAGCACTCCTGTCTCATAAAATTTCTTCGTGAGTTAAAATATCTATAAGCGTTTTGCAAATGGGATGTTTGATAACAATTTTGGGGATTATGTCATCCATTCGAGGGATTCTTCAATACAGTCCGTAGAAAAGGCTCTGCCTACAGGTGAGGAGCCGCCTGGTAGGAGGACGGAGTATGTCAGGTAAACTCGCAGGGACTTGGGATCCTGCCTGTGCTCCCTCAGGACAGGGTCCTGGCCCCTCGAAATCACTGTCACATGAAGAGAAGCACCCATAAAGGGCTGAGCTGTACCGTGTCTGTGGACTTCTAAAAAAAAAACAAAACTCACAACTTCCGGCACAAATGACCCATTAGGATGCAGGTGGTGTAAGGAAGGTAAAATGGTGAAACTCTAGTTCATTCTCCCATAGTCTGCCCACTGCATTGAGGACTGTGTTGAAAATACGAAGCAAAAAAATGGGACTAGAAAATGACAAAATATTTATAAAAGTATATCACTTTTTTTTTTAAGTTTTGCTGCTGGAGAAGATAGAGCACGATGACTTCTGCAGTAAGACGCTGAAGATCACAGACTTCGGCCTGGCGAGGGAGTGGCACCGGACCACGAAGATGAGCGCGGCCGGCACCTACGCCTGGATGGCCCCGGAGGTCATCAAGTCCTCCCTGTTTTCTAAGGGGAGCGACATCTGGAGGTGAGCGTCGGGCTCTCCGCTTTGCAGCCGTCTGCGGAGACGGGCTGCCCTGCGCCCTGTGAGGGAGCCTCGGAGTGTTCCGTAGTTCTGAGCATAAGGGGCAACGTGGGCCTTTGGACGAGGGTTTGACGGTTTTGATCATAGGATCAGAGTGGAGCAGGTGACTTGAGGTTTTTATCGTCCTGACTTCCATTGATAGGAGAACCTTCTCGTGAAAGCTGAGCTTTCCTTAAAACTGGTTATAATTGGAGTGCACAATAATGCCAAGATTTTGTCAGGAAGTACAGTTAAATTTTTACTTTAAGCAAAATGTCAATTCCCCATGATTCCCTGACACAATGGTAGTGTGGAAGGAGTTTGAGATAGATTGCATCTTCTGAAGACTGAAGCTGCCAGTCTGAGAGCAGAGAGCTGGCCCAGAAGGGACCCCTGGCTACCTGGTTTTCCGTGCAGCTGTGTGTCATCCGGGGTGATGCCGCTCAGCAGCAGAGCGACAGAGACAAACCACTCTGCTGAGTCGTTACCACCCGCCAGGGGCTTCTTTGCTTTTATCTGGTGCTCATGAAGTCCTGTGTAGAAGTGTTTGGATTCTGAAAATATTCTAAAAGTTCACTGTGGTGTATTAAAATTCCTGTCCTTTCTTCTGTTTGTTAATCATTTCATTGAGATATGATTCACATGTCATACAATTTACCCACTTAAATGGCATAATCTGAGGGCTTTTAGTATTTAATACAACACCAACAAATTTTAGAACATTTTTATAATCCGTAAAGGAAACCCTGTACCTCTCAGCCATCGTCCCCAGCACTCCACCCCTCCCAGGCCACCGCTAATGTTCCTTTTCGTAGCTTTAGGTTTGCTTATTCTGGACACTTCATATAAATGGAATCATACAATATGTAGCCCTTTGGGACCAGTGTTTGTCAATTAGCACAATGTCCTCAAGGTTCATCCATGTCAGTGTGTGACAGAATTCCCGTCCTTTTTAAGGGTGAATAATATTCTATCGGATGGATAGACCACATTTTGTCAATCTGTTCATCACTTGGTGGGCATTTGGGTTATTCCCACTTTGGGGCTATTCTGAGTGAGGCTGCTAACGAACATCCACGCACAGGTGTTTCTGAGGGTATATGTTTTCCGTTCTCTTGACCGTGTATCTAGGGATTTAATTGTTGGGCCATAAGGTAAATACATATTTAATCATTCGAGGAGCTGCCAGACCATCTTCCAAAGCAGCTGCTCTGTTCCCGTCCCACCAGTAGGAGGGTTCCGACTTCTCCACATCCTCGCCAACACTTGTTGTTATCTGACATTTTGATTGTAGCCATCCTAGTAGTCACGAAGTGGCATCTCATTGTGGTTAAAATTCCAAGGCTTTTGTACATTAGAGAAAACTCAGGCTGAGAAAGGAAATGTCACTTGCTAAGAGTCCATATCTAAGAGGGTCAGAGGAACTGGTCTTTGAGTCCATTTCTTTCTGATTTCCAAAGTCGTCACCAGCAGCACTTGGTCTCCCTCCAACCATTGGATGCCACAGAAGTTACTCTCAAATTCACATGTCAAGTCAGTGGCAGAGACGCTGCTGGTATAAGTTCCAAAAAGTCCTTTACATGGAAACCTCACCCTCTGCATTTAAAATATAACTTAATTGTTCTTTTGAAAAGTTTGTCAACTGTCAAGTCAGGGGTTCCAGAACGTCCTAGGGCCGTTCTGAAAACTCAGATGCCTGGGCCTTACTGACCAGACTCTCTGTGGGGGGGTCTGAGCGCACAGGTCTTCCCGAAACAGTCAACGTTTTTCCCTTGGTTTAATTACAGTGATTTTCTGACCATGTGATGCCAAGATATGTAAGTGAAATAGGTGATTCTTCTAAGACGTTATACTTCAAGACTCTAAAAACTAATAAAATACATCAAAATCAATTTTACTTTTAAAATATCACCGAAGACTACAACTGTGTCATTTCATATGCTTCCTTATAAACTGTGTGATTACAAGCTATGCAAAGGCTGTATAATCTATATAAATGCTTAATAGCAACCCTATTATTCTAAGCATAGGTGAGAATCAAGAGGTAAGAAAAAAGTTTCTAAAACCAGCCAAAATACAGGTCTTCGAGTCTATGCAGTTCTTGGCCAGGCTGTCTCTCAAAGTGTGTTTATTTCTAATTCTCAGTTTTGTAAGCTGGAATGATCAGATTTTAAGTCAAATCAGCTAATTAGAAGAGGCGAGAGGGAGGCTAAGCTGGGAACAGTAAAAACTGGCAGCTGGAGGCAAAATAGAGAGGAAGGAAAAGGCGGGAAATGCCATGCAAAGGACTGGAAACCACTGACTTTGGAGCCACGGAATTCCTTACGAGAGTGAAGCGTGCTGGAGCCCGGAAGTGTCAGATAGCGAGACTGGCAGCCGCCTCTGGCCTGCGTGAACCTGTGCTTTCGGACCTCCCTTCCTAATGTCCCCGTGAAAATGGTTTCATTCAGGAACCGCTGCTGCCCTCTGCGCCGTGCTGCGGGCTGTGCGTTCGCTGGTGCGTTCACAAACGTGCCTGCTGACACCCATCTCCCTCCTGCCCATCTTCCTCCTACTAGACATTAGACTCCCAGGTGCTGAGGCAGCTGTTCCTGTTGGGTTTGGACAGTGTCTTCTGTGCCCCAGTTTCAGAGTCGGTACCCAAGGTACCAAGAGGTTAAGACATGTCCTCAGGGTGCAAAACCAGCAAGCGCTCGGGTCCCAGGCCTGAGATGCTGCTCTGGCTGCTGCAACCCCTGACCTCCAGGCCACTAGAGCGCTTGGGCAGGGCTTCACGTGTCCTGTCCCCTCCCGGTCCCAGAGAACAGGAAATGCGCGCTGCACTTTAGATACATAGTTCCGCAGAAATAGTTCCAGTTTCACTTTGGTTTTACCTGGGGAAGCCCTCTTCTCTCTGGCAACAATGACCTGTCCTGAATTAGTCATTCTCTGAAACATCCCGGAAACCGAGCTCAGTCGGTGTTATCATGTGGCTCTGGGTTCCTGTTTGCTGATGAGAACAGCAAGGACACATCTGTGCATTTAGACACGTCTGTGCATTTAGACACGTTTCGGTTACCCCAAGATGGCTTTGGTCCCCTGTTCTGAGGTGATTTTGATTCATCTGTGAGTTACATTTACTTGTTCTCTGAAATTAAGAATTTGACTTTCAAGAAACTGAGCAGATAGCCTTTGAAAAATATCAGTTACAACTTTGTTGTTGATAGTTCTAGCATGATGTGGTTTACTACTACATTGTATATTCCTTTAAAAAAAAAAAAATGGACTAGCACAACAGAAACAAACTGAGATACAGATAACAAAGGGATAGTCCCCAGATGGGAGGGGGCGGGGGCGGGTAAAAAGGATGAGGGGATTCCGGAGTACAAATGGCCGTTAGAAAGTAGTCACAGGGGGGTGCGAAGTACAGCTGAGGGAGTAAGGTCAAAATGGAATAACCGTGCAGGGTGTCACATGGGCACTAGACCGACCTGGGTGACTGATTTGTAAGTTACATGAGTGTCTAATCACCATGTTCTACGCCTGAAGCTAACATAATGTGGTATATTAAGAGTAATTAAAAAATAAGTGTAGTACCCATATTGCAAAGCATAAAGAACAATGAAAAATAAATAGGAAGAGGAGTGCTTTGAGAGTTGCAAGCAGGCTTTGCTATATTGTATAGATGAGTCAACTCAAGGTCAGCTTCAAGGGTCCTGTGAGTGGGACAGAGCTGGTGGGTGGGAGCCTCCCCAAAGCTCAAACTCCCGTCTGCTGCCTCTGAGCCGCTGTCACTCAGCGGTGCCTGCTCCTCCAGCTCAGAACAGGCGCCGGCCTCAGGGCCTGGGGACTCACACACCTCTGCTGGGGTGAGCAGAGCCCCGGCGGGCGGGTCCCCACGGCCCTGCCACTGGACACACTCTGCTGTTTCAATAGAACACTATTTTTTTCTGAATGCTCTCCATACACAGTCTAGAGCAGCATTTCCCACCTCTTTGATCTTATAGTGCACGTACACTAATGACCAAAATTCTGCGGCACACCAAAAAGTACACTATATTTTTTTATCTGACCAAAAAAATAGGTATAATTCTGATTCATTCATTCTAGACAGTTATCATTGTGTTGCGCAGGTTGTGAACATTCTTGGGGCATGCTGGTCCCACGTCACTCGTCCGAGCCCAGCAGGCACACAGGGAGAGTCGTTCGTGGAACACCATCGTGTCCAGGACGGCCTGAGCCTCAGTGCAGAGAATCCACAGCTCTGCAGAGCTGGTCTCCCCCAGGGAGCCTTGTCTATCGTCTCTGTGACGTGGTGGCCCCACAGCTCCTCACGTCAGAAGATAAAAGATTAGAAAAGTGAACAGGATAGTAGGGCTGTACTGGTGATGTTAATAGAAACAAAAAAGAAAGTAAACAGGACTTTCTTATGTGCTTATGGGTGTCAATGTGCAGTCCAGTGAGTAGTCTGGAGTGGCTGACTCTTTTGTGTGTACTAACAAAAGATAATTTGAGTGTACTTCCCGTTTTGAAAAAGGCAAAAGGGCACTAAGGTACTGACCGGTCTTGTAGGGGAGATTAAATATATATATAATGTGCAAACTTATTTCCAGGCTCCTCTGTGTTGCCTTAGAGTCTGTGGCATGGATGTGGAGTGAAATGTGGTCCTTCAACTTCGTTTAAAAAATTGGTTTAGTGGTGGCTGGGGTGGCTCAGTGGACTGACCGCCGACCGGTGAACCAAAAGTGTACCGGTTCAATTCCCCATCAGGGCATGTGCCTGGGTTGCCAGCCAGGTCCCTGGTTGGGGGCATGCAAGAGGCAACTGATCGATGTATCTCTCGCATGTTGATGTTTCTCTCTGTCCCTTCCCCATTCTGTCAAAAAATAAAGTAAATAAAATTGTTTTGAATTGGTTTAGAAGTCCTTCCACTGGGTCCTCTCTTGTATTTGTAATTGCATTTGCCTTTGATGACCTAGAAAAGCCGTGACCCTGGGTCACACCTGCTGAAGCTTCCCGAGCTTGGCAGCAGCTACAGTCCATCTTGGCTTTTCCCTCCCACTCACCTCACCCTCCTCCCTACAAAGTAGAGAGGTGATGTGCTACCAGTGGGTCCAGGGAGGCCCTCCCGATTTCTGAGGTGTGTTACTGTTGAGCTGCCTGGCGAACACATTCTTAAAATAGCCCCTCAAATAGGAAGTGAGAGGCAGAAAGATGAACAATTTTGACAAACTATTTACAAACACTTCCAGCTGAGTCCAGCGGTGTGCAGCGTCAGAGGGACGTGGGGCGAGCATCTTCTCGTCCTGTCAGTCCTCGCGAGGTTTTGTCTACGTGTAGGGAAAACGAGGCGGGAGGAGAAACCTCAGAACCACCACGTTACTCCAAAGAGCTGCCCCCGAGCTTTCGTGTGCATTACGCAGTTTTCATTCGGGTCGTGCGTGCACAGCTGATTTCTGGGAGTGCCCATGTTTGAGACCTTGACCTCTCCCCTCCGGTGGAGGGCCGCTTTCTTGGAAGAGAAGGTCCTCACTAGCAGCCGGAAGAAGACACTGATACAGCTGTCCTGCCCGCTGTGTCAGAGGGAAAAGCCCGGTCCCCCGCCTCACTGACTTTGTGACAACCTTGCCTTCCAGCTATGGCGTGCTGCTGTGGGAGCTGCTCACGGGGGAGGTCCCCTATCGTGGCATCGACGGTCTCGCTGTGGCTTACGGTGTGGCAGTCAACAAGCTCACCTTGCCCATTCCCTCCACCTGCCCGGATCCCTTCGCCAAGCTCATGAAAGGTACCTGCGCGCCCTGCCTCTGCGCGTCTGTGGGGGCGAGGGGAACCGCTCATGAGGACGTCTATATTTTTTTTAACCACGGACGAAATTTCTGTGGTTCTGATTCTCAGGTGCTTTTAAGGACTTGCACTGTTTTAGAGTTAGAAAGCTTGCCTTTGATCTCAGATGTCAGGGAAAATTCTGATGAAGTAATTTAAAAAACAGTCCGGTTTTTATGAGTGACTCATTGGTGTGCAAAATTCACCGGAATGGTAATAAAGTTTTCACTGAGTAGAATTCAAGGACGACATTGAGTGGGCTCAGGTCTGCTGTTTAAGTCTTACTGAATGATCAAAAAATGTTTTACAACCTTACTTGGCATGGTCTGCCCTGACCTTACGTGTGTGGTCCTTATCTTTCAAACATTAACTCTTTTTGTAAGCAGCCAGTTACCTTACTTAGTTATCAGGCTCTGGCTTAGAACCTCTCTTGTGACTATAACACGTTGGAGACTCGGGCGGCACTGGGGCGAGTGGTAGATCTCTACGGCAGTGAACTCCCCGGCCAGGGCAGCTTCGGCCCTGACGCTCAGAGCTCATGTTAAGGCGTGGAAGGCACGTGTCCCTTCAGAGTGCCCTATGCTGCAGACTAGAGCCTTGTCTTTAAAAGAAAAAAGGAACAGATCACATGTAAGTAATAACAAAATGTCAAATTCTTTAAGAAAATGTTTTTAAGAACTTGCTGCAATAAAATGTTCAAAAACAAAACCCACAACTATTAAACAAGTTACTTTGCGGTACAGGGTATCATCGACTTATTTATGTAACAGGACAGGCAGATTTTGTGCTAGAAATGGAAGGGGGGAATCTAAACTGAACAAAAAATGCAGGAAACGGGTATTCATAAATTTCTGGTTAACTGAGGCTTGATATTGTTAAGGACTGGGGTTCCCAAACATCAGAAGTGTACTTTTCTACCTCAGCAAAGATTTTTTTTTCCTTTTACAAGTCAGGACCTCACTATTCATTTATCAAATATATAAACAGTCCGGTTGATTTCTTAAACTTAACGACCAGTGTCGCTGTCAGATGCTGGTTCTGTTACATTTTGTTATACATACATTTTCCGCAATGAACCTGGGCCTGTGATCGGGAAGACACCCGTAACGACGGGGGTATTTTATTCATGAATAATTCAGCAAGTGTTGTTTGAAAGTGTGTCACATTTCTAGGTCTAGAAAGAGCGAGACAGGCGCAAGGCCTGCCCCAGGGAGCTCACCGCCTAAAACACTGCAAACCTAAGCCCTGGCCAGGTAGCTCAGTTGGTGAGAACATCCTCCCGATACGCTAAGGTTGTGGGTTTGATCTCTGGTCAGAGCACATACTAGAGTCGACCAATGAATGCAAGAATACGTGGGAGAACAGATTGATGTTTCTCTGTCTCAAAAACATCAATAAATTAAAAAACATTTAAAACACAGCAAATCAAGCACTGGTTCTGAGTCACTACAAGCCTTCTTTTCAGTTTTAAAGATGGAATGCACGTTGATTTCCTCTGTAAGGACAGGACAAACGAAACCACCCCTCACGCAGACCGTCCTTCAGATTCTCGTGCAGGGGTTTGGAGTCTGTGTGTGGACAAGGCCTCTGCTTCGCTTTGTCTCCTCCTGTGACAATGTCGAGTGTCCCCTCGGGTTCTCCCAGCACAGCCCCCCCCCAACCACGTTCCGACTCCGCCCCTCCCCCCCGGCTGTTTCTGTGACGCTCCGCGGCAGCTTTCCCTCCCCTTCCCTGCAGTCACTCCTCTCCTCCTTGCTGAAGCCTGGGCTTCCCCATGGTCCCTTCCTTGGCCCCTGTTCACTGGACCCATCTCGGCACGTCTGTGAACGCTGGGCGCGCGGTGAGCGCCACTCCCCGCCACTCCCCGTGAGCGCCTGCTGGAGCTCCGCTGGGACCTTCGGGTCTTCTTTGCCGTGTCTCTTCCTGAGTGCCTTCCGAAGTATTATCCCGAGGAAGACAACGTGAGAATTCCTTAAAGTCTGCGTTAAAGGAGACTGATAAAGGAATGCAGAACTCAGCACAGGATGCTTCTACTTTATCTTCAGCTCTTACCGCTCCAAGTTTTGGATTCTGCAAGATCGGAGTTAAAACTCTTGGGCGCGGGATATCAATGTTACACATAAGGGCTAGGTCGAGAAATTCGATTTTGGGCTTTCTGATAGTGAATTAAAATTTATATGAACCCGTGAAGCTTGAAAGTTAGAAAATGCCCACATGATAAAAAGTTAAGACAGTTAAGTATTCCTTGATATGTTTATGTCCTTTATCGTAAAGGGTATAAAATTAAGAATTCACCTATTTTTGAGTCTTCAAGTCAGATCCAATCAAGCAACCTGCCCTGTATGATCCATAACCCTTTCAAAATTTTAAGTTAGCTGTGGCCAGTGTGGCTTGGTTGGAGCATCAGGCTGTATACTGAAAGGTTGCAGGTTCGATTCCCAGGCAGGGCACATGCCTACGTTGTGAGTTCTGTCCCTAGTTGGGGCACATACGGAAGGCAACTGATCGATGTTTCTCTCTCATATCGATGTTTCTCTCTCTCTGGAATCAATAAACATATCCTTGAGTGAGGATTTAAATAAACTATTTTAACTTAAAGACAAATAGAAAGATTCAATAAATTTAATCTTCCAAATGTTCTCAGAAGCAATGATCAGAAGCACCCTCCAGTAATAAAGAACAGCTGGATAACCTGTTTTCCCTAAAGGAACCAGCCGTGTGCTCTGTGCGGTGGGGGTGAAATGCTGAGGTCTCTGCAAAGAGGGAACGGCGCCACTTACGCATCCTCTTCACAGGAGTGAAAGTCACCAGGGACCGGGAGTCACCCCTCGTTATTTCATCAGCTACCGGTGTTTTCGTAGCATTTTAAATGCCTCATTTCAGTTTCACAACAACAATACCAACATTTATTTTGAAAGGTAATCCTATTCTCCAAGTAGAGGACATTAACAACTCCCAACATAATCTCTAGGAATAATCTTTAGGAACAATTGCAGGAGAGTTAAACTCTTCTGCACCGGACTTCAAGACTGCGGGGAAAGGTGTGCTTCCAGGAACCCTGCGTACCTTGTGCCGGCAGCTGCGGGTCGGGGGTCAGTGTGCTCTTATAGGCACCAGTGGGCGAGGTGGAGCCGGCCTTCAGAGCCCTACCCAACCCTGATTGTGGTGCCCGCCCCTGGCAGGGACCCCGTGTGAAACAAAATTCCCAAATCGCCGTCAATAGAATTTTTCGTTCCCAGCAGATCTGTCAACGTGGGCTGATAATGTGAGCTCTGCTGAGAAATGTTATTAATGAGATACTTGTTGATTTCAGAATGTGAGCTGGGCTGGACAGGGGTATTAATGAGATTCTTGCTTCTTTTAGAATGCTGGCAGCAAGACCCTCATATTCGTCCGTCATTCGCCTTAATTCTCAACCAGCTGACCGCTATTGAGGGGGCGGTCATGACCGAAATGCCTCAGGAATCTTTTCACTCCATGCAAGACGACTGGAAGCTGGAAATCCAGCAGATGTTTGACGAGCTGAGGACAAAGGAGAAGGTGAGCGATACGTACTGACTCGCCTGCCAGGCGCGCGTTTGCGGGAGCTCTGGAAAACGCGTGTCCAGAACCACCATTAGCATTGCCCTACAGTGTTTCCCAGGCATCGGTGTTGGTTGACTCTTGCTTTCCAGCTAGAACAAAACCACTGGACTTGAAACGTGGAGTTGGAACGTAAAAAACACCTTGTATTTCCCCATCATCTTCTTTTTTTAACCAGAGTATTTTAAGTTCAGTCCTAGACTCACGTCATTTTTACACATAAAGGCTTCGGTGTGCATCTCTAACTTTCTGGCCATTATTATCTTCCAAAGTAACAGTAATTCCTTGATACCGTGTCGTGCTCCACATTCAACTGTCTCAGTCTGTCTGGGGGGCTTTCTTGGCGCTGGTTGGCACACATCGGGATTTAAACGAGGCCTGTGTGTTGTTTCTAGTTTTATCTTTTAAAGGCTCTTTTGGGCTAGTCCCTCCTCTTTTTTATCTCTAAGACACTGCTTTTTTGGGAGAAACTGGGAGAATGTGTCATTTTTAAAAACTTTTTAATGCGAGTTAAGCTTTGGCTAGTTCATGTGTTTCAAGAAGAGGAAAAAAGAAAGCTATATGTTAAACACGTTGAAGGGGCATTTATAGTCCCACGACGTGAAAGGCGAGAAGTTCAAACACTCCGAGCTGGGAAGCGGACTTGCTGGGAAGTGAGTCCTGTTGGCCCGGTCTCCTTTGACGGATGACAAATGACAGGTCACGGTCACTGAAGAACCCTAAGGTCAAGGCATGGGTCTGTGCCTTGGGAGCAGTACTCGTTTTTTTAAAGACATGGTTGTGATAGTAGCTCATTTTGATGAATCAAGGTTTATTCTGTTGATCTGAAGTGTAAACTGTTCAAAGGGTTGACTTCTTATTGTGGGTGCAATAAATGGGCCAAAGTGCAACATTGCAAGTTTCTGATAAGCATTATAAAGCCATATAGTTGTCCAGGAAGGAATTTATATGCCTCACACAGTTGTCATTCTAGTAGCAGAGTTCTTTCTAGGCAATAATACTGTGCTAAAGAGTCTGTTTGCTTATGACCTTGAAACATGGGATGATGGTATAGCTGAGCACCATTCTCCTGTGGTTAAGTGACCTTGACTACTTACGCAGTGCGGCCCTGAATTCCATCTCTAGACTTTCACATCGACTTTGATCTTAAAGGCCAATAGCCAACCTTAGTGCAAAGGAAAGGGCAAAGGAGGGAATAAGAACTTGTGGTTTGAAGATACATATGTAACCATTTCTTGAGCTAGTAAATATATATATATATATGACTATATATGTGTATATAATACTGTGCATGACATCAAGACATCCAATGCCTAAATTCTACCCTTGAGTAGCTAACTTTTGTTATCTCGCTGAATGGGGAATTAATAAATGTTTGTCAGAGTTCGTCCTTGAAGTGCAGATTGTTTTCCAAAACAAAATGAGTTTTAAAAACGTGCCTGTGGGGGAACCGTTCTGCATTTCGGTGTTGTAATCTTTTCCCGGCAAACATACGGTGACTGTCCACTGTGTCCGGGAACAGGGCCAGGGTCCTGGGGCACGAAGACAAGTGTGGCCGCCTGTGCCCTAGAGTGGGGGCTCCTGCACACCCGGCTGGGTACTGGGATCTCATTGACAAGTTTTTAAAAGGGGCTTTGTGGACTATTTTGTCAACACTTTTAAGCCAAAAATTGAAGTCCACTTCCCCGCCCCCTGCCCTGATTCTACTTCCCTTTTTATGTTAATGGATTACCGTTCTCTCAGGTACTCAGCCTCACAGGTGTCTGAGGATGTTTCTTGTGGCCTCCTGTGTGACAAGGACCATCGTAGTCACTCGTTCCCCTAACCCCATGCCCTCATATCTCCTGATCACCGCAGCAGCATCCCACCTGGAGGCCCTGCATCCAGTCCTGCTCCCCTGCCTTACCCCGCCCCACCGCCAGCGACCCCTCCAAACGCGCATCAGAGCATGCTTGCTTCATGGCCGACTCTGTTTCCATATTAACTTCCCTCGCCCTTCCGTAGTTACCCTCACCTTGTCCCCAGCCATTCTGAATTCCAGGTCCTCTGATGCCACGTCCCTGACTTCCGGCCTTTCTATGCATCTGCCCTCTGCCGAGAGCACTGTCCCCTCCCCAGCTCTGATCCCCGCCCCACAGTCGCTGGCTCCAGCATCCTCAGCCCCTCTCCTCGCTGCACCTGATAAAACCTTGTCACGGGAGCCTGCTCCTCCCTCCCTTGTCATGGCTGGGCTGAGTCATCATTATTATTATTATTTGCTTGTTTAATTGTTCTTGGTCTGCCTTTTCTGCTAAGTTCATGAGTTAGTGCTATTTCCTTCTTGGTCATTTCATCCATAGCACTGACCAAAGTACAAAGTATGATACTTGGTATATGGTTAGCATTAAATAAACACATTAAATACATCTGAGTAAACTTTCTTAATATGCCTTCAATTTACAATTAAAGCCTACACAAGCTTTTCAAAAATCGTGTTGAGAGCTCCCAGCAATCATGATGATTACTATTACTATTTTAAGTGAAAAACAATTTTAAAGTGTGTCAATGTTCTGAATCCTATTTTGAACCTTAGGCTGTGACAGAGGCCTCTAGCTCAGCTACTTAACCTTTAACCTCTGAGTGTGTATTCTTGAGAAACTCCCACACACGCTCGAGGAAGTGAAGGCTGATCCCTTAGGTATTGTTTGTGTCCATGGAAAACGGGAAGCGACCCGACATCCAGCGAGAGGGGGGCCGGTGCCTGCGCCGCTGCTTGGACTCAGCGGGAGCCGCACAGCAGTTCCGACGCGTGGCCTCCGGCTGCGTGCGTCTACGTGGGTGAATCTCAGAGGCAACCTTGGGTGGGAAAGCGAGATGCAGAAGAAGGTTTACATTAGGTGCCACTGGTGCAAATTCATAAAACCATAGACAATAAAACTGTTCAGATGTACAGAACATCCAACAGCAGAGGCCGGGAAGACCGGAAGGGGACCTCGAAACAGCCGATCTGGGGGGTGGGGGCGGGGTAGGATTAGAACCGGGCACGGAGGGTGGGACAGGCCTGTAGCACAGCCTTAGCAGCTACTGAATGCTGACAGTGAGTGCGTGGGTATTGGCTGTCCCGCTTACAGTGTGTTTTAAGTATTTCATAATGTACAATGATGAAAATAAAGGTTAGAGAGAAATACGTAAGCTGCAAATTCTTTTTTTTCTGAAGTCATTTTTTTTCAAGAAGTGTTTAGAGGTAACTCACTCTCTTCCTTAGATGTTTCAGGATTTTGTAGGTTTAGAAATACAACACAGGCAAACACAACCTTAGGCCCTGACACTACCAGTACGTAACGCTTCTGTAGTGAGAAATTATAATCCTGTTTGATGGCTCAGGTCCTGGCCACGGCCTTGTGTCCGATGGTCAGCCTCCCCAGGCTGGTGGCTAGAAGCCGGAAAAGGGGCCTGGACATCTGGGCAAAGAACAGAAATGGGCACAGAAGGGGTGGGGTTTGCGGGGCTGCCCTCTAAACCCGATGAGGGAGGACTATGTTTCGTGTTGTTTCGTATTCAGAGGTAGGACCTCTTGGGCTCCAGGCATTCAAGTTTGGTCCCCAAACCGAGAATGTTCTAGCCTGCGGCCCCTTTCCGTCCAGGAATTCACGTGGGCTGTGGGGGTATCTGCCTGGGATTCCAAAATCCACAGGAGCCCCTCCCCCGTTTTAGTGTGACATCTTTGGCGGAATTCCAGGGTCTAGAGCAGTCCAGTGTGGTGGTTAAGACCCAGGACTGGAGCCAGACAGCCGGCTGGCACTGGGCTCTGCCACTGCTGGCCCCCGGCTGTTCTCCGGTCTCCTCACCCTTAAATGTCCCAGGCTCGTGCGTGCGTGCGCGCTCTCTCTCTCTCTCTCTCTCTCTGTCTGTCTCTCTGTCTCTCTGTCTCTCTCTCAGGCAAAGCTGCCTGTTTCCAGCATTAAGTGTTAGCCTTAGAACAAAGAAAGTGGTGGCTTTGAGGGCGGTGGGGCAGGTCCCAGCAGCCGCACTGCCCCTCCCCCCTCCAGGCCCAGGTTTTAGCAATCAAGTAATACAGGAAAATGACCGACCAGATTAACTTCTTCAATCCTGCAGTTCTTTGAAGAGTTATTATCAGTGATATTATACGTGTGTTTCTTGGAAACTTGAAAACAATTTGTGGACTTAAAATGATACAGAAAAGACTCTAATGGATTTTTTTTACACTTGCGCAAATTGTTTTCAGGCATTCTAAAATTAGATGTCTGATAGCAAGAATTAAAAAGATTTTGGGGTATTGGGAGAGGACTTGGAGGAAAAATAAAACTTGAGATCACAGATTTTAAAATTTGGAAATAATGTTAACAATGGTTATTTTAAACTATTTTATTTGATTCTCTTTGATTAATGACAATCACATCAGTGGAGGTAGAGCTAGTGAGTTCCTTCTTATCTTGCGGCTTTGGTAGAAACCAAAAAGCATGCTTCACAAGTGGATTCTACTCTTTCTCCATTTCAAGGTTTTATAATAGTTCTTTGTTATTCTTTGAGTCTATTCAGCTGTCCTATACATGCAAGCCTCTGTGTTTTTTCTAATGTGACTTACTCAGTGCTCCTTGAAATACAGCATTTATGGTGTATTTCCTGTGAGCCTTCAGTCTACAGTGAAAGCCTGTACAATCTTTTTTTTTTTTTTGCTCAGAGATTTCTAACCGCATCTTGTAGCTACAGAGCGTGCTCTATCTCCTCTCTGGCTCACTGATTGCCCGAGGTAGGAGGCGTCAGACTTGGAGTTAATGGTCAGTAACTTGGCCGGCTGTGCCCTGTGTTACTCAGTAAACTGTAGCCTCCGCAGATACTGGTTCCTCCCTGAATTCCTGGCTCCTTATCTCTGAGTGTCTGCCTTTGTGTGCTGGGCGAACAGAGTGTCTTTGAACCACTATATGAAGGCATGTCACCATTAATGATTAACATCTTCACCAGGAGTCTGGATTTGCCATTAGAATGGGCTGTGCCAGGCAATTAAACAAATATTACTACCTAGTAATCTCAGCCACCAAAAGAATTTTCTGTGTGCTTCATAATTTCAAAGTATTCAAAGGGGCTCTAATGCCCCATATGGTTTGTTTGTTTTTTTCTTTTATGGGTGAATGTTTTCAGATCCATTCAGAAGGAAGAGTACTGTGGCTGTTTTTTTTCTGACCTTATTTTTTTCTCTTATGAAGTCTCAGGCAAGGGGATTTTTTTGCTTTTATTCATCAAGTTGTTGCGAGGGGATTCGCCTTTTAGCTTGGGGCCGGGAATTAAACATGGTTTCTCATTCAGTTACTGTAGCAGGAACAAACAAAACCCCTGATTGAATGTGCTGCCCTTATCTCTTCCTCATGCCATTTCATTTCACAATAGCTAATTGGATTGATATCAGCACCGCTGAAAAGTAATATCTTAACAAAAGGGCATACAGCAGTGAGTTAGAAGTTGGGAGTGACTGGAAATTGTCCTCTGTCCCCAAATACACTGCAGTAAAATCTCCAGTTTGGACAAACTGGTAGAAGAATGCCACTAATTAAATAATGCATTCCATAATATTTTTTAAAAGTAGGTAATATTTTCTTTCTTTTTTCTTCTTCAAGCTGTACATGGTAGTTTATATCTGGCACAACCTTAGGAAGAAATGCTGACCTGCTCTGTAAGTGAGAGTCAGCTGCTGCATATTAGCCGAAGTGACTTGAGTATCAATTGGCCTTAAGTAAGTCATTGCTCCTGCAATTACGGTTATGAAGTCTGTTTAGAAAAATACATTTAAAGACTGTTTCAAAGCCTAATTACAGTCCACTTTGGTAGGATTACCGTAAGTTCAGGATTCGTGTGATCTGAATAAATAATTTTTTGTTTTGTTTTTAGGGCTCCTCCTTGCTCTTTCTCTCTTTTTTTATCCTCACTCAAGGGTATGTTTGTTGACTTTTAGAGAGAGAGGAACGGGGAGAGGGAGAGGACCATTGAACGGTTGTCTCCCTTACACGCCCCGGCAGGGAGACCAGCAACCTAGGGTATGTGCCCTGGCTGGGGATCGAACCTGCAACCTTTTCGTGTACGGTGCAACACTCCAACCAAAGGAGCCCCTGGGCCAGGGCATCCTCTGTCTTTTCTTGACAGTACTGTATTTCTTTGTGGAAGGATAGACTTCTGTTTATTCCCTTTACAACAACTGTACAGAGCCTCCACTTACTCTTTGAGTCCATCTGTCAAAGGTCAAGGGCTTAGTGGACTGAAGTGGCATTTAGTCATGGGTTCAGCTGTGGTTTCTTCCCTGAGCTGCATCTTACAGTTTTTTCACGCACCTGTTTTGTTGTTGTTGTTGTTTTTGTGTGCGGAGCGGTTGTGATTGTGTACAGCGCGACGTGTTTGCACGGCGCTCAGACCTCACAGCGCCAGCCCCGGCTGAGAAGGCGGGGTTTCCAACTGGGCGTTTGGTGTTAGGCGATTCCAAGGTTAAGTGCGTGGGGAGCAGTGTCAAGACTCGTTTTCGGGTGCCTGGACTCCCACAAGGCACGGGTCAGTCTCAGGGAACTGGAAGAGAACGTCCTGTGGCAGGGACAGCAGTGTTTGTCTCCAGGAGAGGACAGAGCACTCGGCAGCAATGGAATAAGGAGGGACTGCGGCCCAAAAACATTGTCCAGTTCTCAGTCTTACTACTGAGTAGATATTTTTTAATAGGAATACAAGTGCATACATTCCTCAGGCCCTAGATTTTCTCTTTCTCAGAAGTTCAATAATTCTAAATCAAAAGCAGGAGGAAGTTAGACTTTCCTCGGAAAGTACCATGACAAAGGGACTTATGTGAGCTTGTCCGTGACACCTGCGGATGACGTGGGACTTGCCACCCAGCCATGGCGACCTGACCAGTTCTTTGTAAGTGGGGATAGTTCTCATTGGCCTCTTTCAGAGATGTCTCATGTTCACGTCTGAGGAGCCTTCCACTGACTCCTAATACATTAGCTTTGTTCTTTCCCACAAACTCTCCACCAAGATGCTTTCATCTCTAAGCAGATTCTTTTTTTTTAAAGATTTATTTATTTATTTATTTTTAGAGAGGGAAGGGAGGGAGATAGAGAGAGAGAAACATCAATGTGCGGTTGCTGGGGGTCATGGCCTGAAACCCAGGCATGTGCCCTGACTGGGAATCGAACCTGCGACACTTTGGTTCTCAGCCCGCGCTCAATCCATTGAGCTACGCCTGCCAGGGCTCTAAGCAGATTCTTTAACACTAAGAAGTCTCTAAGTAAAGGAACCTGGCCTGCTGTCTTTTGTAACTGGAATCATCATTCTTTAATTAGCCATGCTTTAACTTTGGGTTTATTTTAAACTGGATCACACACATCAATCTGTGCTTTGTCCCTACGTGTTCATGTACATGTTATGTGTCAGGTAATTGTGCAGGTGAGAGAGAAATGTTCAAATTGAGGTTAAAATAATAATGATGCCTTTTAGAATCATAGAACTAAAAGCGCAAGGAGGGGCCCGTTGGTTTGGTCTAAGCCGGGGATGTGCCAACAGATCTCTGTCCTCACTGCCCAGGGCCGCAGCCAGCAGCCAGCGCTGCCCTGTGTGGCCTGCTGGGTGGTGATGCGAGTGTCCCTCTCGTCCCAGGAGCTGCGGTCCCGCGAGGAGGAGCTGAGCCGAGCCGCCCTGCAGCAGAAGTCGCAGGAGGAGCTGCTGAAGCGGCGGGAGCAGCAGCTGGCAGAGCGCGAGATCGACGTGCTGGAGCGCGAGCTCAACATCCTCTTATTCCAGATGAACCAGGAGAAGCCCAACGTCAAGAGGAGGAAGGGCAAGTTCAAGAAGAGTCGCTTAAAGCTCAAAGATGGACATCGGATCAGCTTACCCTCAGGTATGACTTTGTCTTCCTGTCCCCCAAGGCTCTCGTACGTCACCCTGTCACCAGCCACTCTGTGTGGTCAGCACTGGGGAGAGGCGGGGAAAGAGATTCTCCAGCATCGAACTTCTTCAGTTGCTTCCTTCAGTTCACGGCCACCGCGTGATGAACTGATGGGTTTCCACGTGGGAAACAGCCTCGGCTGAGCATCGCTGTGCACCGCAGGCTGAGTGTTCTCCCCTCAGAGGACTTTCTCATGTGGATTAGCTGGTCTTTGCCTTTGGAATCAGCCGAAGTCCTTTGTACTGCTTGTGCCGAACCAGGGCCACAAGGCCCGTGAGGGTCCAGGGCCGCGGCTGCTATTTCTCCTTTAGGGTCATGTGTACACAGGATGGGTCGGCAGTGTCCCCTGGTAACTGAGCTCCCTGGGGACACGGAAGATGCCATCAGCACCTTCAACAAAATCGGCCAAGCCCTTTAATCACTCTCCTCTGAGGGTTTAAAATCCTGTAGGTATAAAAATGAACCAGGACATCTAGGGAAGATTTTAAAAACATGTTTAAATCATTGTGATTATAATCTACAGGGATTACGGGTGTTAGGAGAAGCTAACCAGAATAGAAAATAGCAAACCTGTGTTTATGAAATTAATTGTTTAATAGTATGTTTTACACTGATTTAAGGAAGAACCAAGCACCCTCCATATTTTGTGATTCTTTTTTTCTAATAGCAGGGAAGAGTGGGGACAGAACGAGACTGGCAGCGCTTTAGAGAATGTGTATTAATTATCTCCCCATCTGTATCAATGTCCCTGTCTATTTCTCTGTGTATGTTTGTGTACTGGAGTGTTCAATGGGTCCTAGTGTTCTAAGATATTTGTTAGTGTCACACAAGTTAGATTTAAATAATAACAACAGGTTTTATAGAAAGTATGTATGAGTTGTCCTGTAAAAATACTTGTTACAAAAGACAGGCGGCCGTGCAGTCCATATAGGGTTTTTGCAGGTTGTTTCAGAAATCCGCAAGTGACCGGCTAATTGCTGGTGTGGGTTGTCATGAGCACACACCACACACTGTTGAGTCTTCGGTTGGATGAGGTGAGGACAGGCTAAGGTCCCTCTCTGGGGAAAAGACAGAGGTCCTTTTCCAGATTCTCTTCTGATGCTGGCTTTGAACTTGAAGGACCCCCAACTGAACTGTCTTACATGTCAGGCACGATGTAAAACAGTCTAGTTTATTTATGGTGAGACTTCTCCTTTCGGGTGAGCTGACAGAGAAATTCAGAGAGGCACCCGGTGTGAGTTTTCCTCTTCGGTTCTTAGCTGCAGCAGCTTTCTTCTGTCTGTGTTGTGACTCTGTTATCATCATTAATAGTCATTGATTCACTTGGGAAACTTGGTGGGAGGCGGGGCTTAGTATCTCCTCTCCCATCATCTGTTCCCCATGATCTGTCACTCAAGCGCCGTGGCCCAGTTCTGAGTTCCAGTTCTGAGCTGGGCAAGAGCACACCTGCCTTCTGCTTTGGGCCGGAGGCTCCTCCTATTAAAAAGAAGAAAAAACAAACAAACTCATGGAGAATGTGCTTTCATAATTTTGTGACAGATCATGGGGCCAGTCAAACTCTTATAAAACACTGCAGTCTGAAATACACTGTTTCAGATCTCTGGGTGAGAATATTTCTCTTATCACGCCCCCCGCCACCTGCCGCCCAGTCGTCCTCATGTCTGGAGGACCCGTGTCCCCTCTTTCCTCTTTCCCTGCTCTGCCCGCTCCCGTCTTTCATAATTTCTCACTTGCTAGATAGAAGGAGCCCCCCATCTGGTACTTCATTTCTTTTGGCTTTGTCTTCCAGACCCCCCTCCACCCTGCCACGTAATTCTCAGCAATTACCTATGAGCGCCAGTCTGAACCTATTACAAACCTCGAGTGATTTTCTCATCCAACCAACACTTGGGGACCTACCATGAACCAAGTACTAGGGATTGCAGTAAGATACACGTGATCTCTGCCCTCATGTTACTGAAAGTCTTAAACAGGGAAGATATCTGTTCAGCCAAGACTGACGGCGCCGTTTACGTGGGAGGCTCTGGGCCAGCGTGGACTGGGGTGGGGCCAGCTGTGCCAGAGGCCAGCGGCCTCTGCCCAAGTGGAGCCGACGCTGTACAGGGGGAGGGGTGAGCCTTAAGCTAATCATTAAACATATACTTATTTTCTTGCTATAATTATTAACTGCTGTGAGGGAACACGTCCATGATTAGCAGAGAGAGGCAACCTGGTCGAGGGTCTGAGAAGGCCCCCTTCTTTAGAAGTAAATGACGGAAGCAGGGGTCCCACCGTTTGGCGTCTTTGGGCCGCACTGGAAGAAGAGTTGTCTTGGGCCACACCTTAAACACACAGACACTAATGGAAACTGATGAGCAACAACACAAAGGTTTTAAGTAGATTTACGATCTTGTGTTGGACTACATTCATAGCCACCCTTGGCCGCATGCGGGCTGTGGGTTGGACACCCGTGGGAGAACAAAACGAATCAGACACAGAGTTAGTGAAGGTTTATTAGGTCCTGAGCCCTGTGCTGAGGACCACATTTTGCCATGCATAATGCGCACTTTTTTGCCCAGTCTTTGACGGAAAAATAAGGATGCACATTATACATGGGTGTAATGATTACGTACCACGGGTATAGCGATGGGTATAATAATCCGGTGTGTAATGCATACAAAAACATGGATGCACATCATACACAGCAAAGTATTTTCTATACTTATTTGTATTTCGTTTTTCCTAGCTGTTCTATGAAGTAGGAATAATGATATTTTTCCCCACTCGAGACAAAGAGGCTCATTTGCTTTCCCAAAATCCACCTGGCTAGTAAGCGGTCAACTGGGGTTTAAATCCAAGTTGGCCGACTCCAGAATCGAGAATATGAATTTCTCAACTATGACAATGAGGAATAAGAACACAAGGCCCAGAGTTTACAAGATACTGTGTGTTGGATTGGACAGGGAGGGTCAGCGAGAAGACACTGTTAAGAAAACTTAGGGATAACTGGATAGCTGTCTTGCCTGCCGAATTCCACTTCCTTATTTCAAATACCAGGTGGTTCTTTAAAGTATAATTTTCAAACAGGTAAACAATAGTTCTCCTGCAAGTGTGAAACGAACATGTGTCAAAGATTTCATTCAACTCACTAATTAAGGAGGGAACCAGGTGAAGCTGGTCCTCACAGAGTTAGAGTGAGGCACTTAAGGACCATTTAACGAAGGAAGGTTAGGATTAGATTGCTGGGCTGAATACATGCCTGGTTAATGCCTGATACGGCAATAAACCATAACCTTTGGGGTTGTCTTTATTGGCCAGACGGAAATCATTTGCATCATCACCAGACAAAATCTAAAAGTTAACCTCTGCCCCCACTGAGCTGTAAACATACTCCAGTCAATTGAAAATCAATCAAAGGTTACGGCACTGAAAGAACGCCCAGTGATTCCTTCCACCTGTGTCTGAGTTTTTAGGATTTTTTTTGGTCAATTTACTCAGTTTCTCAGTCTCCTCTGCCCTCTGGTGACATCAGTCCGCCTCTCATATATCCCCCTAGTTCTTTGTGTCTCTCTGTCATTACCCCTCTTACAGCCAGGTGGCGGAAACTACCACTTCTAGAATGTGTGACCACAAATACTGTCAACTGTAGGAGGGGGAAAAGTTTTGCTTCATCTTCTTAGGGGCCTTGGCTGGGTCTGCAACTTAAACTAACAAAGGCATCAATGGGGAAAAGCGGAAAAATCTATTTAAAAAAAAGAAATATCCATTTAATGTACATTGTCTGTGACACAAGAGCCTTCACGAGGAAATGGAAGCCCAAAGCAGCAGGGAGACCCGAGTGTGTTTGTGTGGGGGTGATGCAGAGTGTACAACTGACAAGCACCTAGTAAATTTCATTTCTCTGCGTGTGTGGGCGCGTCTCCACTGCACCCAGTGCAGCTGCCGAACCATTATTGACCTGAACCCTGGCTGGAAGATGCATGAGAAACGAAGGAACTGATTCTGAGCTCTGCTTCATTTCTTACTGTCTGGCCATTTTGGCTTGTATTGCTGTGTGCTAAAGACGTGGCTGTGAAAATAACTCAAAACCATGAGCCCTCAATTCTTCCTCTTTCTCCCATTGACCAGATTTCCAGCACAAAATAACCGTGCAGGCGTCTCCCAACCTGGACAAGCGGAGGAGTCTGAACAGCAGTGGCTCCAGCCCGCCCAGCAGCCCCACCATGATCCCGAGGCTCCGGGCCATACAGTGTGAGCGCCCTCCCCGCCCACGGGCTTCCCTGCGCCTTTCTGTCATCAGACCTGCTGACGCAGACTTGCCTTCGTAGCCGGCTGTAGCTAAGTGTTCGGCGTTGAATAGGTGTCCCTACTATTTGGGAAACAAAATTTAGTCTTGTATTCCTTAACCTAATTTTCTTACATGTATGTATAAATGCCTAATTTTTAGTGAAAACATGGTTACATATGTGTATGTATATGTGTTATACACACATTATATATTATTTTTATCTGTACTTCATTTCTTATGGCCATAGAGTATAAATGTCATAATGTTTTAAATTGTGTCTTTAGAACAGCTGGTTTGTTATGGGATTGTGTTTCTAAGTGTGTAGTAGTAACAGCCACTTTCCACAGTGACTCCTGCATCGGTTGTAAGTGTGTGGAATGACGCCAGCCCTCTGAGAATTTCAGGTGTCAGGGCCCCTGCTGTGGTCGTAGGCACACACTCCTCTTCCCTGGTGTTGAACAGAATCAAACGGTGCAAAAGGCAGTCACACCGCCTCCTCTTACTCCAGGAACCTGAGCCTTTGCCCACCCTGGGCGTGTTTCCCAAAGGAATAAGTATCATAATGCAGTGGATAGTAATCCTGGAGCTCTTACCTTCCCAACGAGTTCACTGACACACGGTGATTTTCAGTAACGCTCTCGGATTGCACCCAGTCCTGCTCATCCATCTGCACAGCGAAGGACACTAAGTGTAGGGATGGCGGGGGGAGGGGGGTGGGCCGGCAGAGACCCTGCGCCCAGCCCCCAGCACGAGGATGACAACAGGGAGCGTTCACTGCACACCCACTGTGTGCTGGGCATCGTTCTGAGCCTTTCCCAGCCTTTCCCATGCGTTAGTACCCTTACTTCTCAAAACAGCTTCGTCAGGCAGACACTTTTGCGATTCCAAACAGCAACAGGACCTGACTCGGAGCTGCGGTGTGGTACAGATGTGTACTGTGGAGTCAGGGAGGAACGGGCCGGCAGCTTTTATTTCTGGGAAAGCGCCTGAGCACGGCAGGGAGAGCTCTGAGTTGGGAGGTGATGAGACGTGGTTTATCTCAGCCACATGATGAACCTGAGAGAATCTCCCAGCCTCAGTTTCATCTTCCTCCCCCTCCCTTTGGTCGGCTCTTCTGTATTTGCTTTTGTTGCAGCGTTAAATGTTTACGTGTTTTGAGTAAGGTAGTTTAACAATGGATTAGATTCCTTTGACTTTACATTTTTTAAATCGATCAATGTGTGATTCTGTCTATTTAGTGACTTCGGATGAAAGCAATAAAACTTGGGGACGCAACACCGTCTGTCGACAGGAAGAATTTGAGGATGTAAAGAGGAATTTCAGGAAGAAAGGCTGCACCTGGGGACCAAATTCAATTCAAATGAAGGAAAGAGCCGACTGCAAGGAAAGGTGCGTGCGTGACGCCTGGCAGTTCTAGGTGCGCTGTGTTGCGCGGCAGAGGCTGTTAACTATCACATCGGACAGACTTAACCTTGAGAAAGAAAGGAGAACAAAACGGAGATATCCAAATGCGATTTTACTCTCTAAGATGAGTTCACCCTACTACATTATTATTTAGTTAAGTTGTTTAAAATCATCCCTGATATATTTTCTGCTTCATTTAAAGCAGAATTATTTGTGCTTTATTAGCACCTGATTTGTTAACGCAGTTCTATTACATGGGAATAAATGTTTTTCTTTTGCAGAATAAGACCTCTCTCAGATGGCAACAGCCCTTGGTCAACTCTCTTAATAAAAAATCAGAAGACTGTGCCACTGACGTCATTATTTGTGGACCAGCCAGGTACGTGCTTCAGAAAATAGACTCTGGGTCAGGCTTAGCTTCTGCGTGTTCTGGATTCTAGCAGCTGCGCCCCGGTCGCCCCAGTAACAAGGGCAAGGGCAAGGGTAGGAAATAGCATTTCACGTGTCTTCCCTTAAGCTTGAGGTTCTTTCCTGTCCTTTAAGTCTTCCTAGTGGAAGGTAATTTGGCTCCACATCATTTACTGGGAATTTGTCAGCCTTCTTTTTTTACCAGAAAAATTAGTATCATAAGTAATTATGTAGAACCAAATTAATTTTTTATAAGACATAGGAAAAATGAAAATGTAGACAGACACCCTGAAATTCTGCTAGGTTAAGCGGGGGTCTTCTGGCTAGTTGCCACCTCTTGATATGAAATTATGTTCAGCAGGTTAACTATGAAAAACTATTGGTTGGAGAGTAGTAATACAGGGGAATCTCTAATTTAAATGTCATAGTTATTTTTAATATTCAGCACTCCTACTCAATATTTACATATCAAAAGTTTGAGGAGGAGTGGAAATTGTTGAAAAACTTTAGGAATTGTTATCATCAAAGAAAAAAATGGTCTTTGTCCTTGACCATTTAAATGACGGATGTTTAGCAAAGTGTGTTGTCATTTTCGTTACTTTTTTATCAGTGCTGTGCTCAATTTTACAAGCACTTTATCACTGATTACCCATGTTCAGTTTTCTTCTGTATTTTCATGAGGACATGTGTTCAGTATAAACACCTCCTTAAATACATTTGAGTACACCTGAGACAGGTGCTGTGTCTTCCCCAGGTAAAATGCTTTCCGACTTACTATTGTGTCCTGACTCTTCCCTATGAAGGCAAGAGGTTTATTGTCAAACATAGTTGGAGGCCTAATAAAAATACTAATATATAACAGTATTAATATTGCTACTTCTGCCCTGGGTGGTGTGGCTCAGTGGATTGAGTGCCAGTCTGTGAACTGAACAGTCACCAGCTCAATTCCCAGTGAGGTCACATGCTTGGGTTGTGGACAAGGTGCCCAGTAGGGGGCGTGCAAGAGGCAACCAGTCCATGTATCTGTCACACATCAATGTTTCTCTCCTTCTCTTTCCCCCCTTCTCCTCTCTCTACAAGTAAATAAATAAAACCTTTAACCTCCCCCCACCCCGCCACTTCTGTAGTATGTTGTTCATTATTTGCAACTGTCTGGATGGAGGAATCAATCACAGAAGTAATCCTGCTTTTTCTTTCTTAACTGTTTGGACCCTCTGAACGACTCCTCCCAGGGACAGTTAGAGGGATGAAAGGGTGCACTGGGCTGACTCAGTTCAGTCTCTGTTAACTCTGCAGTTCACTTGAAGGTTAATGAGCAAAAGGTTTACATTTGTCTGTCATGCTTGAAGGTCCCCTCCCACTGCCCATCTGTGTGGCCAGATCCTTCTCAGCATTCATGTCCGAGCTCAGGCCTTTCCTGGCTGCCCAAAAGCCTTTCCTGACCGCCTTAGCTGAAGTAGGATCCCGCCCCAGCCCTTGAACGTAATACCCACTTGTATTTATTCCTGGCTCTTACCCGAAATCTCGTCTTCACCGACGCTGGGAACGCATGTGCTGTCTGTCTCCTCCAGATGAGAAAGTCAGCTCCATGGAGACAAGGATTTTTTCTGGTTTGTTCACCACTCTGCCCCCAATGCCTGGAATTTGGCAAGCTCGCAGTATCTACCGAATGCCCAGATCCACCCTAAAAGGGCTCTTTGATCTTTTTTTTATTTTATTTTAATTGTTGCAATACAGTTTTCTATCTTTTACTCCCATCCCAACCCACCCACCCAGTCCTCCCCTCCTCCCTCCCATTTTCACCTGCCCCTAGTTTTTGTCCATGTGTCCTTTATACTTGTTCCTGTAAATCCTTACCCTTTTCCTCTGAAATTCCCCCTGAAATTCCTTCTCCTCTCCCCTTTGAACACTGTCAGTCTGTTCTTTATTTCAGTGTCTTTGGTTATATTTTGCTTGTTTCTTTGTTTTGTTGTTTAGGCTCCTGTTAAAGGTGAGACCATATGGTATTTGTCTTTCACTGCCTGGCTTATTTCGCTTAGCATAATACTTTCCAGTTGCATCCATGCTGTCGCAAAGGGTAGGAGCTCCTTTCTTTCTGCTGCATAGACTTCCATTGTGTAAATGTACCACAGTTTTTTGATCCATTCATTTACTGATGGGCATCTAGGTTGCTTCCAACACTTGGCTATTGTAAATTGTGCTGCTTTGAACATTGGGGTGCATAGGTTCTTTTGTATTGGTGTTTTAAGGTTCTTAGGATATAATCCTAGCAGTGGAATTGCTGGGTCAAAAGGCATATCCATTTTTAGTTTTCTGAGAAAATTCCATACTGTTTTCCATAGTGGTTGTACCAGTCTGCAGTCCCACGAGCAGTGTACTAGGGTCCCCTTTTCTTATATGATATCGATTATATTTACCCTGGCCTGGGGGCTGCCAGTGCATGGGTCAGTGGAAGTTCATGACCACTTCAGGGGGCAAGTGTATATTGTTCTAATGAGTAAAGGTGTGTGGAGTCACACATTAGGAAACGCTCAACACTTAAATACTTTGAAACCTGCTGATTTCATCTGACTATAGCTTCTCCCTGCTCTTTCGCTTAAACAATGGATGGATAATTAGCGGTTCATTACATTGCTGTGCGTTCAGTTCACCGAAGTGCATTGCGTGGCTGCTCGATGAAGGCTGTGCCCGGGGAAGACCCCTCAGGAGGTACTGTCTCCTCGGTCAGAAGTTCACCGCCTGCGGGCATGCTCATGAGACCCTGACCAGACAGCAAATAAAAGGAAGAAACGGCACTGCTGCTGTCGGGCCTCGGAGGACTCCGAGATCCCACGGAGGGGGTGTCAGGCTGGATTAGTGTTAGGCGCTACTTTGAAAGAGAGTGTTGAGGGGAAAAGGAGCTGGGTCATTGGCCTCACAGAGAGGACAGAGGATGCACGGGGGAAGGAGGGGGTCCCCTGGAGAAGGGTCACCCATGGGAAGAAGTGGGGCTTGTCGGGAGAAAAGCTGGCATCTGGCTTGTTTCGCTGATAGAACACGGTTCAGGTGTAGTAGGAGGCAGTCGTGGGAATATAACTGGAGGACTGTCGTGGACCAATTCATAGAGCAGAGGAACCAGCGTGCCATTCCCATCACTCACTGGTAGGCACCTAAGTGATAAGAATGATCTCTTCCTCCAGCCTATGGAATTTGTTGCCCTTTGGGGCTCAGCCCTCTTGGGGGCATCCTCCTCTCCTGCAGCGGCTCCCAGACTTGAGCAAAGGCTTCTGAAACATGGGCCGCTGGGCTCCGGCCCTGGACTTTTCTCATTGCATGTCTGGGGAGGCCAGGCACTGGCATTGCTACAAGTTTTCAGGTGATGCGGGTGGGCCGGGCTGGGGACACAGTTTGAGGACCACTGCTGTGACGTGTGACCGCTCTTTCACACACAGGCGAGCAGTAGGTAGCAGGGCCTGGCCCTTGCGTGTATGGAGATGAGGAAAAGGCACGTTTTGTCTGATAAGCTACGGGGCCTATGGATGCTTGTGCACATTTCTGACCCTAGACGACTTTGCTTCGACAATAGTTTTATTTTCCCAGTGAAGGACCGTTTCCTGAAGGCCAGGAAATGGCAGGGGGTCTGTTTGCCCCCTGGGAACCCAGGATTCCGCTCTGTAGGGTCTGCCTGGGCGAATCATTTGCTGAACTGAAAAGGACTCCAGCATGCGCTTTCATTTAGAATATTTATCAGGTTTCATCTTTCTTCTACATAGAGTTTAGGGGGTTTGTACTGTACAATGCTACCACCACTGTGTATCTGTATCTTCATTCAGGTGCTTGTGAAGAACCAAAACCCCCCGCTGACGGATCAGAGCCCAGAAAACCAAAGCAGACCAAACTGCCCGGCCCAGCCAATGTGGATTCCCCTCTGGGGAGAGATGGCCAGAGAGAGAACCCTCTGGAAGCGGAGAGCTGGGAGGAGGCCCCCTCTGGGAGCCCTGCTGCGGGCACTCCACAGGTGACCCCCAGCAGCAGTCTGAGCAGGTCCCCATGGAAGAGGACAGAGTCTGCCCTGTACAGCTGCACCGTGCTGCTGGCCTCCGTGGCGCTGGGCCTGGATCTCAGAGAGCTGCCCAGAGCACAGGCTGCGGAGGAGCCCCAGGAAGAGAGGAGGAAACGGGAGGGATTCCTGCAGCGAGCGCCCAGGCCCCGCACCACTGATCGCCCCCGGCCAATGCCCGACGGTGAGGGGCCCCGAGGCCCAGCCTTGCTACCCTCGCCTGGTGCCCTTGGCCTGCTGACCAGGCCTTCCCTCTCCACGAGGTGCTTGCTGCAGATGGAGGGCACGGACTCCTTCGAGGGCAGTGTACATGGCACTCTGGACCCCCATGCGCCCCCTGCAGAGGTCCGCCCCACCTCTGGAAGGGGCTGTCCCCAGCCCAGCTCTGCACCAAGGCGAGAGTCCGATGGCTGTGTGTGGAAACCGAGACCCCCCTGCCCGCCCTCCTCACAGCAGACCCGTGGGCATGCGCCTCCCTGGGCTTCTTCCATGGAAAGGGCAGCGCGTCACCGGCGGACCGTGTCTGACGGAAGTGCTGCTCAGGCCCCAGGTGGGTTGCACTGTGGGTGAAGGTCCGGTCCCCACTGTGCACGTGGCATGTCCCCTCCCAGTCTGGGTGTCTGACAAGTGACTACATTTCCAAGTGGTTCCATTTCCCAGTTTGTTTCCACCATTCATGTGGACCTTCAGATTTTACCCTCCTCTTTCACGTAACTATCATTTGGATTCAGGGAGAAGTGTAACTAAACTTCAGTGACTCAAACAGGTAATGACACATTAAAACAGAAAGTGCATGTGACAATAACTGCCCTGTGTCCCTCGAGGTGAGGAGACAGGTTGTCCACACTATCGGCCAGTAATCAGTGGGAGAGCTGTGAGGAGCACGGGCCATCTCCCCTGCCTGGGGCACCTGTGTCCTGCGTCACCTGGCCTCGCTGCTCAGATGGAGTCTGCAGGTGTCCTGTGAAAAGCGCACACACACTAGGTGCTGACAGGGTGACTGCTACCGCTCTCTGTGATGGTTGTCACAGCCCCCTCAGAGCTCTGTCCTGAGTGCGAGGTGAGGTGAGGCACAGTCCCTGGGACTGGCACTCTGTGTGGGGACACGTCACTCTGGGGTTGGCGGTAAAGTGTGTGAAGGCAGAAAGTGCTTTCATTCTCTCCACTTCCTCTTCTCGTTAAGTGCTACACCTGGACGTGTTTTTTTCAGATTATTCTTCATTGCCTTTCAATAAATTGGTCTTTTAGGCTTTTGTAACACAGTGAAGGTTTAGCAATTTATCACTGTACTGGGAGAAATCCTAGCACAATAGTCTCATAGGCAACTGCCCTTTTATTATTACTAGATTTATTGGGGTGACATTGGTTAATAAGATTATATAGGTTTCTATGATATGTGATCTATAGGAAGCCATTCTTTTTGTCTTCATTTTGTAGGCCAATAATTATTTGTTAGACTGGTAGTAAGTCAGTTCTTCAGAACAGAAAGAGAACAGGTAACATGGAAAAACCCAACTCTTTTATTTTCATGAGTTTTTCAAATCATAATCTAGAAGTGAAGTTTAATCATATCAACCATCATGTTTTTAAACCCTCACCTAAAAAAACAACCCTGATCCAAGGATAAGTTTACTGATGAGCCAGAGACAGAGAGAGGGGCGGGGACAGGGAGAAACATCCATGTGAGAGAGAAACATGGATCGGTCGCCGCCTATATGTGCCCCCACTGGGATTCGAACCTGCAACCTACGTATCTGCCCTCACCAGGGATCGAACTCACCACCTTTGGTGTATGGAATGACACTCCAACCAACTGAGCCCCCAGGCCAGGCCCACCATCATTTTTAAGTCTCAGCTGGATCCCGGTCCCGTCCATCTCAGAGCCCGCCCTGAGTGTGCAGCACTGGCGGCTGGCCCAAGCACTGTGGGGTGGTTTGGCCCCAGTCACAGCTGCCGTTTCCATGGTGGGAAGCCTCTCTCCCACCTTGCAGTAGTTTTTCAGGAGAAACCAAACAAGCATGTGTCCTAACACTTTCAAAAGGTTTGTGTTCAGGTTTTTTAAGGAAACCCCCTTTAAAGCAACTGAACTGTCATCCTAGTTGTTTTTCTTGATAAGCTTTGTTTTAGACGTCGCTGTCTTTCTGATCGCGCACTGTCTCTTCTTTCTCAACCAGCTGGTGCCACGAGAGCCTCTGCCCCGCCCCCTGAGCAGGTGTGGGGGCTGCCCCTTTCCCTCTCTGGTCCTCGCAGCGACCTGCCCTGCGAGGCCTCGCCTGGAAGACAAACAACGGTCACCACCGTGCCTCTGCCTCGGGCCCCCCCACTAAGAGACCCCTCAGATCCCCCCCAGGCCTTCCCAGGGAGAACAGAGCCTGGGCCGGCCCAGGCCAACCCTGGCCTGGGTGATGGGGGACCACCCCCTCACTCTTCCCTCGGTGCCAAGGACAGAACTATACTGCACGTGCCTTCCTTACTGGACGCGGACACGGAGGGCCAGAGCGGCGACTGCACGGTGCCCTTGTGCAGGATGAAGAGCAGAACCAGCCCGCCCACCCTCTACCAGCTGGAGAAGGAATTCCTTTCTTAAGTGCCTTACCTTGTTCAAGCATTTCTTCTTTTTTTTTAAAGATGAACAAATTAAAACACTGTGTCTACCTTTGAACTGTTTTATGCTGCTGTGTTTTCCAAAGCTGTGGCCATGTGCGTACAACAGGAATGGATGGCCAACATCTCAAACAATGGACGTGATGGCTGTAAACTATCCACATAGATTGTTTTTCCCTTGGGAGTCCCCCTGCTAACCTGTACTGCCTGCCGGTGTGACGCAGGAAGTGCGCGGCACGGCAGAGCCCTGCTGGGGCGCTCCCCGGAAGCACAGCTGTGTGCGGCTCTTGTCCTTGTAGCCCGGCTGTTCCTGGGGGGCGGAGTGAGGTCTGGATCCCTCCCGCCTCCCCGCCTTCCTTTGTTTTACTTCTCCTTTCCTTCTCCCTTTTCTTGCTCTGTCTCTGTGTCTATCTCTACCTCTACCCCTATCTCTACCCCTACCTCTGTCTCTGTTTCTCTTTTGTGCAACAAAAAGCCCAGAAGAAAAATGTGATATTACTAAGTAAAGGTGTCTACTTTTGAAAAATGGATAATTAGAATAGATACAATGTCCTATTTAAAGTACCTAGACCTCACTGTAGGTTTATAACACGTAAATATTTCCAATTCCCGCCTAAATTGTGCACTATTTCTCTCTTGGAGGAAAATCTACTGAATGTAACTTGTAAAAGTTTTCCTGAATGTAACTTATAAAAATTTTAACCATTCGAACTCCAGAAGAGATTTTTACGAGATCAGTCACTGACATTTGGCTAAGACCGTGTGTGTGGACACACGGTTGGTACCGGTGGAAAGGATGCTTCCTCCTTCAGTGGCCGTTCGCCTGGCCCTCAGGATGTGAAGCCTTTCCATTCTGAAGCAGAATTTTTAAAAGTTGACACATACATCCTGTATTGTAAACATTCGTGTCATTGAATTTCATTTTTCTCTATTTAAATGCAGAACTATGTTAATAAATCCAGGTACAGTAGGTAGAGAGAGATATGGCCGAGTCACTAAGCAGCGGCACCGTGAGAACTTGAGTAGTATGTCGTCGTTCACACTGAGCTTAACTGTGAATGAAATGTGGGACATCTGTTGTGGTAAGCTGCTATGGCGGAAAGGACAAATGTATTACAGATTAATTTCAGATATGGGTTTATAACATGGATTTTGGAATAGCAGATCAAGATTTTCACTGATTTCACACTGTAAGTGAGCCACTTAGAAATCATGCAGAGACCCCCGAGTCACAAAACAACAGAAGTCGTTCCCCAGGAGCTTGCAAATTGGTCGGGGTTTCTCCTGCCAAGTCTGTTTCCTTCCCCTTCTGTTACTGGAATGTGGTCATTCAGATGACAGACAATGGATATTTAAGTTTGTCCATACAATGAAAAACTAAATGACAAATCTCAATTGATATGTTCTTTAGAATCTTACCCTCTTTAAGGTTTACTGAGTAACCGAGATGTCAGCCACTGAAATGAAATCAGGGGTGATAGAACACTTGCCCGTAGAAATCATGAAAAATCCTACTCGGCCACTTGGGAACACCTCCGTCACCTTGCAGGTGTGTGGCCAGCAGATGACAAAACGAGTGCAGAAGGAGCAGAGGGACATGTTGCTCTAAAGAACACAATCTTGTATTTAAGATTCTTGCAGAAAAATCTCAGGTACTTACTGTGTTTTGTTGGGTTATCGTCCACCCTAGGATTTGGCTTTACTTTGGAGGGATGTTGAATTAGGCCATCGATTAGGTTTCCTGAAAATTTTATCACATTCAGAACTGTGGTTGGCTGCTTTGTTCTCTGTCATTCGGGGGCATGTAACGTCCAGCGGAAAGGAAATACGTGCCTGAAACAACACATGTCAGTAGTACAGACACTGGGTGCTCGGTTTGCTTCCACCAAAATGCCACGTGGAGGGTGGCCTGGAGGGGGTCTGTCTGTCTCCCCCCTCTGCTCCTCTTCCTGTTTTGCTTAATTCTAGTCAAATCTGTGCCTGATGAATTTATAATTGAAGCCATTTAGAAAGATAATTGCAATACAAGGATTCACTCTCACATGTTACTATGAACAGCTGTTTTTCTGCTGAAATCTATTGTACATTGCGATTTCCTCTGTATCTACTTCCTAGGATCTGGTTATTTATTTCCATACTGACTTCCTAGCTCACTGCAAGGTGATTAAACCGACTAGTCCACAGGGAAGGTGCTCTCCTGCACAGGGGTGAGGCCCGGCCTGATGCTGGGTCATGGAGCCTCGTGAGTGAAAACGATGTTTACATTTGTTGTCTATTTTTTTAATAAACTTCTTTTTATGGCTAGTCTACTTGCTCAGTGGCTGTGGTCTTCTGATAACTGACTATATTTTGTGTTGGTTCTTTTTGTATTCAGTGAAGAAAAGCACATTAATAAAGATTATTGATGCTTAATTAGCCAGGCATTAACCTCCCAAATTCATTACACTGAAGATGACTAAATGAGTCACAGCATTAAATACTTTTTTAAAAAGTGTAACAAAGCATTTCATGTGAAATGCTGTATGGTGACACGCGTACTGCATAGGTGCAGTTTGTGAGAACGTGCAGCTCCGGCTGCTCCAGAGGCGCTCGTCTGCCGCAAGGAGTTAGTGCAGCAGTGAGATGTCTGTCAATGCCACGGGACTGTGATTAATGTGTCAAGTGAATTGTTAAAGTGTTTACATCATTGAATTTCAGAAACCATCCAATATCTGGTGGTAATTCTTACTCAGAGATGAAAGCTCGGGTGAATTAGAAAGTCACATCCCAGCATTTCCCTGCAAATCCCAGCACTGCCTATAGATGCCAGCACTTCCTGCACACCCCAGCACTTCCTGGAGATCCCAGCACTTCCTGGAGATCCCAGCAGTTCCCTGCATATCCCACCATTTCCTGTAGATCCCAGCTCTTCTTGCAGACCCAGGCACTTCCTGTAGATCCCACCATTTCCTGTAGATCCCAGAACTTCTTGCAGACACAAGCACTTCCTGTATATCCCAGAACTTCCTGCACATCCCACCATTTCCTGCACATCCCAGCACTTCCTGCAGATCCCAGCACTTCCTGGAGATCCCATTATTTCCTGTAGACGCCAGCATGGCTCCACCACAGGAGATGGAGGGATTTTTATCACCATTGTATATCAACTAGGTTCCCACATAAGACACCTCCTGTTACTCTCATTAATAAGCTGTGTTAGGCAGGCAGGAGTATCCACATGTCATTGATCTGAAGTAGACACAGAGAAGTTTGGAAAACTTCCAAAGAGCCAGCCTGCATCCGATCAGTGTCACCTACCTGTTCACCCCTGTGGTAACCACACACAGGCACAGAAGGTGAAGGTGTGGGACACCCCAGCTTTGTCAATGAAACCCAAAGCTAAGGTAGTTTTTCATTCATCAAAAAGTTCAACGTCTACAAGCATGTGAGTACTTACTTCAAAACTAACGGTGGGGAGTAGTGCAGCGAGCTTCTTTGGTGAGTGTAAAATGAAATGAAAGTACTTAAACACTCATGTCTAGTAGAGCAGCTAAGAAAAATGATGGGTTTGTAAATGGTGAAATTAAGAACTTCAGGATAAACGCAAAATAATTGTGCTCAAGCTGTACATACTCTTCCCTTCAGAAATGGCCCAGCTTGGCATGCAAACCCCCACGGTGGGTTTGCTGTGGGACTCAGGCAGGCAGCTGGGCAAGGGGTCGGGTGGGGGAGCAGGAGGCGGCCTGGCCTTCACTGTTCCAGGGACCTGTACCCGCTCACACCAGCTTCCTCACTGCTCCCTCTGCTTCCTGACCCTGGGTCATCCAGTCCAACCTCCACACTGACCGGCTTGACCTTTCTACATTGGAAGGACTCATCCTGTCACACGTAGAAAAACTACCAAGAGCTCCACGCAGCCAGAGAATAAAGTGTCGTCAGCACAGTGTACAGACTCTGTCAGGCCCCGGTTCCTGCTGTGGGCTGTTTCCTACCACACCACCCAGTCCAGTCCCTGGGGGCCCGGCTGCCCGCCCCGAGCTCTGGCTGGAAGGCTGGCGAGGGCTGTAGCGCACAGCAGGCATGCCTGCCCCTGGCATATTATTCAGTCTCCTCCAGATCCCCCAGAAAATGTGGGCTCATTTTCCAGTTTCTTTGCTGTCCTCTACAAACAGCAGAGACAAGCTGAGGGCGTGAGGGTATTGTTGCTCAGTGAAGCGTGGCCATTCTGTCCACACTCGCCCCATCCTGGGACCATGCCTCCCTCCACCTCACTGCTCAGTGCATGCTGCCCCTCAGTGCACACACGCACCTGTGCACACGTGTACACGTTAACTGACCTGAGCCACACTTACAGTTTTTAAATCCCAAATTCATTCCCTTTTGACCTGGGAAGTGGGGAATTCTGTGCAAACTACATGGAGTGCGGTGGCTGCGCCTCCTGGACACCCCTGTGGTGGGCTGAGGGGGTGAGGGCAGCCCCGATGTGCAGCCCGGGGTTTAAAGGGCAGGTGAGGAGGAGACATTGTGCACGTCCACACAGCTGCCCTGGCCAGACTGTGACAGCCGTGAGGAAGCAGCCCCTCGAGGGAAGAGCCACCCTCAGCTGGCTTCTGTCCCCAGCCCTTCTGGGCCCCCACAGAGGCAGAGTCCACCAGACAACAGGCGTTGGGAAGAATGACGTGTATTGTTAGCAGCGTGCACTTAGGGAGGACGGGCTGCCACCGAACAGGCACACTCTGCTGTGTGCAAATGCACACTCAGCAGTGTGCTGCGCTGGGCACGCCACAGAATAAACGTGCAAATAGCCCTACTTATAGAATGTGGAGGTGCATGTGCACGTGGGCACACATGCACACACCCATCTGTGGTGTCCCTCTTGTGCCCCGGTCTTCACACACACACAGCACTTGTCTAGAACCTTCTCCAGCCCTCAGCATTTCTCTGGCTAACTCCACTCTGTCTTCAGACTGGAGCGTACACGTGGCCTTCTTGTGGATTCCCTCGTGGAGTCGGACCCTGCCGACTCTGACGGCTGTGATGCAGGGTTGTCGAGGTGACATGGGGCTGTTGCTGTGACCTGCTGCTTCATACAAGACAGAGGCGAGGGTTTCCATCCGAATCCAGGCTGCCTGCCCAAGGCCTGTTCCCACTTCCTGTCCAGTAAACACAGGTGCAGAAGTCAGACCCACCGTGCGGCCGCTCGCTGACTCTGACCACAGAACCTTCCAGGAACCCTCCCAATAGTCTGGTCAGGTAGCTGCTGCCTCGCAGTCCCAGAGAGTTTAGTTGCTTGTTAAGTGAGGTTATTCACACTGCAGGTGGTTCCCTCAGAGGCTCAGGTTCCTTCCCCTGTGACAGCCCGTCTCCACTGGCCACTCAGCCTCACATGTTTCAACTGCCTCCAGCTACTGAGAAGATAAAGGGACACCTGTGAGCATTGCCTCAGGGAGGGACTCCTGGGGTTGGCCCCTGGTGGTGGGTCCCTGGGGCTGAGTCCCTAGGGATGTGCCCCTGAGGGTGGACACCTGTGAGTGAGTCCATGGGGGGGGGCCATTGAGGTGAGTTTCTGGCTCCCCAGGGGCAGTAGGGCTCCCTGTCACCCACCTCCAGGCCACACCTCCTTCTGCACTGGCCCCTAAGATGCTAAGTAATTCCGCACGTGAGGGACTCTCCTTCAATATCCAACGTGATGTTACTCTCCCTGGCGGGCACATCAGGGAGTGATTGAAAGGTGCTGGCAGGCGGGATGCCATGCTCCAACCAATGAGAAGCAGCCCATGGCCTGAGGAGGGGGAGGGTCGGATGTTTCAGGGCGCTGTGTTGGGGGAACCAGAAACATGGGGAAGCACAGGCCACCTGACACCCTGGTGCCCAGTTTTCTGTTAAGGGACAGGAGGAACGACGGAGCTGCCATGACCACAGAAAAGGCTCTTACTTGTGCTGTGTTTAGATGGCAGGTGGCAGCATGTGCGAGGGCTCCGGGGTGAGTGAAGGTGTGTCTAATGATGTGGGGACCCAGGCCAGGAGGGGGAGACAAGACACAGACTGTGACCGGCTTCACCCGTGACACAACAAAGAGGATGGGGCTCCAGGTCCATTTGGGTGGGGGCGAGCTTGGGAGGGGTGGGGGTGAGTGTGGGATGGAGCTGAGCTGCTCCCTGCTGCAGGGAGCATGCGCTAGGCCTGGGGCGGGGCCACCGTGCCCATGGTTTCAGTGTCACCGTCCACAGGCAGCACGCAGAGGGCCCACAGCTCTGCGAGGATGCGCCCACAGCACTCTGGAGTCTCCATTCTGGGCAGGAGGCATCTCTCTTGTCCAAAGGGTCCTGGTTCAGGTGGCTGGGCTGGACCCGGAGCTCCAGACAGGAGCTCTGGATCCAGGTCAGGGCAGGACAGGCATCTGGCTGCTGAGCAGGGAGAGCTCTGTACCAGAGTCCCCATGCCCCACAGGAGCCTTGTGCACCCCTGCAGTGTCGGGCTCCCGGGCAGGTGTCTGGGCTGAGCCACCTCTTCTGTGCAAGCTGCCCCCCTCCCCCAGCTTCTCTAAGAGGCACAGCTGGCCTGACAGGACACCTTACCTCTGACCAGACTCGCGGGCATTTCCGATGTCGGGGACTGACACTCTGTTCACTCCTGGCTGTGCTCGCTGGATGACTGTGGCTCCGCTGCAGGTGTCTGTGCTGTGAGCACCCTCCCCACCCCCCAGGCCCAGGGGCGAGCATGTCTGGGGCTCACAGCCACATCTGGAGCTGGGGGTGGGCTCTGACCTGGGCCCGGGAGGGACCTGGCACCTGGAGGTGACCAGTTGGCAGACCGTGCAGGTGGAGAGCATGAGCTCTTGAACACTCACCTGGGCTTCTCCAGGGCTTGGATTTCTCTGTTTACTCACCTGAAGCGAGTTAAGTCCAAGAGTCCCTGGAAAATCCAGGTGGCCAGGGCCCCTGTCTGCACACTGGGGTCGCCATGAGACCAGACCCCACCTAATGGGGAGAAAGCTAGGACATCCTGCATGCAGCAGGGTGCAAGGGTGCACGTGGTCACTGCGCCCCTTTCCTGGAGCCCCAGGATGCACCCAGCCCAGTCCCTGGTGCTCATGGCCTGGGAGTCTCCAGAGGACAGTGTGGTGCCTTCTCTCTAAAGCCCATCGGAACTTCTTATAAATAATACAAAAACACGATCTGTGAGTTGTATCATGAGGCTGCTCTTACCTTGTGGAATTTCCTGGAATCACACCTCCAAGACACCCAGGCCAAGCCCACCACACCAGAGAAGCACCAATCTGCTGTGAGCTTCTCCCCAGGGTCCCCAGCACCCTGCTGTACCCA